AACCAGAGAAACATAAAAGCAGTCAAAAAAACTCGGTCAATACTTTCGGTCAAAACGTTTCGGTCAAAACTTATTGGCACCCAAACCCTTAACAATTTCTATAAACCCTAAACCCTAAACCCTAGCCCGTTTCGCTAACTTGGCTCGAAATCCTGCACTCCAAGTTCTGCTCTCGAGCCCCACAAAGATGCCTTGCGCAGGCGACTACCAGCGCTGCCGTGCGCGGGCTCCCGGTGTAGGGCTTGGGCTTAGGGCTGAGGATCCGGGGTTTAGGGTTTAGGGTTCAGGGTTTAGGGTTTAAGGTTTAGGGACTCCGTTCGGCCATGGTGTTGGGTGGTGCAGGTCTTGCATAAGGCACGCGGAGTATCGAGGGCTTGCTCGATCCTGTTCTTTCCCCGGGCCCTGCTCCAGAACGGCGCCAATGCGTCCAAATCACATGTATTACAGCGTTTATAGGGTTTAGGATTCAGCCAAAGCTGGGGGTTTACGTACTATAGGGTTCAGGGTATATCGGTTGGCACTCAGACATCGAGCAACCTGCCACAGAGTTGGCCAAGAAGTTTATATAAGCTAGCAGAAGAAGGGCGGCAGCGAGGTTGAGGTAGAGACGACAGCTGCAGCGGATGCATCCGCGCTGCGAGGTCTATTCGAGGTGTTGCGGTCGTCGGGGTGTCTGATAGCTTCCACCCTCCGAGCGCAGGGTGGTTGCTCACATGCGTTTTTTCTTGCACTCTCTACAGGGCCGTGGCTTTTGGGCTAAACTTCTAAACATTTTAGGACCGAACGGAGCCCTTGAAACAAAACATCGATAGACTCACAGCAGATCTAGCAAGAACAAAAACCATTAATACCCCGTGAACGAAGAGCAACGAAGCCCCTCACCCGCGATAACCAACAGTGAGAGCAATGCCACAAAAGATAATAACAATAGGTATGATATTGTCAGAAAGACATCGTGCAAAACAATCGCAATATTACTAACAACGATACCTACAGAAAAGACAAGCTTTAGGGTTTAGGGTTTAGGGTTTAGGGACCCTAAACCCTAAACCCTAAACCCTATAAATAAACCCCAAACCTTAGTGTTTAGGCCGACAGCATCTAAGGTGGAGCATGTTTGTAGTCGACTGGGCCTGAAAGTGTTGGCCTTCCTGTGGCGACAGGATGCAGACCTCGTGGCAGTTGTTGACATTGAAAGGGTTTAGGGTTTAAAGGTTTAGGGTTTAGGGTTTATAGGTTTATTGTTTAGGGTTTATGGGTTTACGGTTTAGGGTTTTGAGTATAGGGCTGGATGCAAACTCCGGGTTTTGTTCGGAATTTGTCACATGGCACAAGTGTTTAAACGCCATTCAATAGAGTAGCAGTATCTCTTAATTTATGGTCCACTTGTCATTATGGTATGATTTTACGCTACTTTCCCAACTCTTCTTCACCTACATAGCTACTATCCTAAGCGCAAACACCTTACAGGTATTAGGTTCCGTGAAGCCTGGGGTTTGAAAGATTCTTTGAGAGGTGGTTGCTTTCGTTGTCACTGTTTCTCCGAGGGCTTCCAGGGGCTTAGGGTATCGGTTTGGTTGTTGGTTGTTTTTTGTTTTTGCGGGGGGAGGGGGTGAGGGGGTGCGGGAATTAAGGCGTGGGGTTCAGCGTTTTTTGTGTTTCGGGCGCTGCTGATCAGTGCGTGGCGTTAGGCTTAGTCCTGCAGCCCAAAGTTTTTGCGTCGGGGCCGTTTCCAAAAGGTCCATGTGCTTACATAGCAAATACATTGGCTTTAGAGAATAGTCCGTAAAAAGGTACTTTAGGACCGAAGCATATTTATGCTACATGGGCACATGGACCCTCAGGAATAGCCCGACTTATATAGCCTCATGGGCCTAAAGCCCTTGACTCTACACTTTCAACCATCAACCTTCAAGCGCTATCGTCTCCCCTAAAGCAGCGGGGCCGCAAGCCTTGTCTCGTTTTGGGCGGGAAGCCAAAGCCTCGACAAGCGCGCTTTGAAAACATGGAAGCTACCACGCGCGGGTGTGTAGTGATTTCAGTGGCTTTCCTTGTAAGCCATGGTAGCATGAACAAAGTTCGTTAACAAGAGGCAAGTCAGCATTGGCGCAAAATGAAGCTCAAGATGGTCGCAGTGATTGCCAGCCCTGTTTCCCCAGCCTCCGAACCCCCAAATTCCTACCCAGCCCCTTGCAGGGATCCAGCAAACAAAAAAAGACAACAGCTCTTATCTTCAGCCATGTAGCAATAAGCTACCAGTTTGCGCCGTTCTCTTGTTTAGAGCCTTTGGGGGTCTCGGCAGCCCGCGAGAGGATCAGTCCTTGCTTCTGGAGCAGATGATCGAAGGGCAGCTGGATGCACGAATCGTGAAGGCCCCATCCTTGTGTGGGGGGGCGGGATTACGATCGAAGCTGGAAGTTTTCCACAAGGCACGCTTGTGGGACGGTTTGCCGACACCGATCAACCCAGGAGGGCTATCGGTTGCCATTAAAAAGCATCAGTGATTGGGACCTACATAAAACCATCAATTCAGCAGCCCCCAGCAGCCTACAAATCCGAACTTACAGCCCTGAATGGTCCCTCAGCCACTGGAGCAGAGCTCCTAAGCAACACAACCGGTATTATGTCCACAGTCTGGAATGACGAGAGGTTGCCTGCATGGGGCTGGATGAGCGCCACATCGGTTGCTGCCTCGGGGATTTCAACAGATTTCCCAGGTCCGTTGAGGCTTTTGTCCTGCAAGATTTTATGCGCTCTTGTAACGGCCTCGTGTGTTCTTATAGGGTTTTGGCAGGATGTTAAAACGGTTTGCCGGTTGCAGGCTTGCAATGGTAGTAGTAGTAGTAGTAGTAGTAGTAGTAGTAGCAGCAGCAGCAGCAGCAGGAGTAGTAGTAGTAGTAGTAGTAGTAGTAGTAGTAGTAGTAGTAGTACTAGTAGTAGTTGTTGCAGTAGTAGTTGTAGTAGTTGTAGTAGTTGTAGGAGCAGGAGTAGTAGTAGTAGTAGTAGTAGTAGTAGTAGTAGGAGTAGTAGTACTGGTGGTAGTAGTGGTAGTAGTGGTATAGCAGTAGTAGTAGTAGTAGTAGTAGTAGTAGTAGTAGTAGTAGTAGTAGTTGTAGTTGTAGTAGTCGTAGTAGTGGTAGTAGTAGTAGTAGTAGTAGTAGTAGTAGTAGTAGTAGTACGTATGCAGATGATGAAGATGATACGGGTCCTATGAAGCCGTACTGCATCGGACCTTGTACCGTTCTGGGCTTGCTTCCAGGGCAGACAGCATTCTGGAAGGACATGTGGGTAGTTAGGGTCCCTTTATAAGAGTGCCGTGCTATTTTGGGGACGTAAAAATGGGCCCTAATCTAAAGAACCTCGCACATGGCCATCCTGGACGCTGCATCCAAGGGCCCGGTCACGGCAAGCAGGTTTCGTGGTTGGCTTGTCCTGCTCTACCGGAGAGGGAGGATTTCGTGATCACTTCCCTGCATGACCATGTGCCCAGTGATATCTTTAGCCTCATTTGAACTGAAGCATCGACATAGCAACCTCCTTCAAGGACAAGTTATATGCTATATACGCACATGGAGGCGTGGGGTTTTGGAAGGATAGGAGTTGGTTCCTTCTGTAGGCTATGTGCCCGGTTATGAAGCACTCCGCCCGCACCTGGCGCGAAGAAACAACATTTCCAGCATATGTCCTAAGCATGTCGTCGTCAGGAAACGACCTCGGGGAGGCGTAGATTGTAATTTATAGCCCCTTACCGTGAGGGTTGCCCCAATTAACATTGAACCCCAAAATCGAAACCCTGAACCCGTAGCTGACCGTTAGGGATTTGGCTTCAATGTCCGCTGGTAACCAGGGAATCGCCACCTCACCAACGGCCATACACTCCGAAACACTGCTCGTAACTGTACGTTTTTTTTTTTTCGAAAACCCTAGCCCTAAACTAAACCCTAAACCCTAAACGCTAAGCCCAAAGCCCTAAACCGTAAACCCTCAACCCAGTCCGATTGTTTAGTGTTTGCATGCTTTCCCTGCACTTGCGGAATCTCTCAAGTTGGCCGCTGAGGCAAATCCATCCTCTCGGCGAATTTTTCTGATCCTTGGATGACAGATCCTAGGACGAGTTAGGGAGACCCCTTAAAGCGGACCCTTCTCAACCCTACTTGGGGCTCTTTTAAAAGGGAGCTTGCTGAGAGGGTCTATGTCCCCACGGGGCCCCCTTATCCTAACTCCTGGATGAATTTCAGACCCTGGTACCCAAACCAGAAGTTTCGTGTCTAGGAATTTAGTGTTTCGAGTTTACCCTAAACCCTACGCCATGAACTCAAAGCCCTAAACCCAAAGCTCTAAATCCTAAACCCTAAGCCGAAAAGGTTAGGGTTTAGCGCTTGGGGTTTCGGTCCATTTGCCCCAGCACATGGGTAGATCTCGAAATTATAGGGTCCCTTTTAGGGTTATTCTGCAAGGGATCTATAGGGGTTAGGGTTTAGGGTGTAAATTTTAGGGTGCCGTAGACTAAAGGGATCTATGATAGGGTTATAGTACTTTAAAGGGTACTATAGGGTTAGGGATTAGGGTTTAGGGCCTTTAAAGGGATCTGTAAGGGTTTCCTGTAGGGTTTCTGTAAGGGCACTAGACGAGTTCTGTTCTCTAACTTAGTGTCCCGTTCAGGGTCCTTCTTATCCGGGTGGCCGGTGGGGACTCCAAAAGAGATTCTATTTTAGAGAATTACCCACATGAAGCCAGACATGTATAAGCCTTCTTCCCTGCTTAGTTTTCAGGGTGTACCCAGAGCCCTAAACCCCATAAGCCGTAAGCCCTAAAGCCTCGACCCCTAAACCTCAAACCGTAAATCCGCACCCAAAATCTTGAGCCAAGCTGGGGCTTTAGAATTCTGTCCCAATCTTGGCCGACCGAGGCTCACATCATGGCCCTGGGGAAGAAGTGGGGCCGGCGACCCTGCGATCTGCGTGTACACAATGTGTATCGGTCTAAGGGTCTGGGAGTTTCGAGTTCAGCTGCCCACCTCAAAACCGAAATCTTGAGCGACGTAGAGTTTCGAGATTCTCGGCATAGGGTCGATCATGGGCTCGTTTCATTCAGCTGGTGGTTAGACTTTAAGGTTTAGGGTTTAGGGCAGCTGGCAGCTCTAAGTTGTGAGTCTTTGTTTCGTTGCCTGTCTGGTCACGGACGGAGTAAAGTTTGCTTTTGACGGGGTCGTCCCAACTTCCTAACGCCATCGGAAGCCAGGTCTGCGAATCTAGTAAGTAAAATTGCAGATCAAGCTTCCATCCATCCGTCCATCCTTCCATCCAGCCATCCATCCAAACATCCGTCCAAACATCCATCCGTCCATCCACCCACCCACATCCATTCCTCCCACCCATCCATCGGTTCAAAGAAAGAAAGCAGCGTACACCAACAACTCCTCAAAAGCCTGAACCCCAGAACCTCCATCAGGCGTGCACGTTTGTGGCGAAGGTGGCGAGTACGAAAGTGCAGGTGCGCCATCGGGTGTTTGAGTTTCGGGGTGCCAACTGGTAGCTGCGTGGTGGCAATTTCTGATGTGGTGGTTTAAATAGTTACCAATACTACTTTGCGGGTTCCTTACTATAGTTACAGTAGAATGGGACCCAAACCCTAAACCCTAAACCCTAAACCCTAAACCCTAAACCCTAAACCCTAAACCCTAAACCCTAAAACCCTAAACCCTAAACCCTAAACCCTTATTCTAATCATTACGGGCCCCAAAGGTTTCGGATTTAGCATTAACGTGGCGCTACAGAGGTCCTATTTTAGTATCTTTGGACCGAGGTATCTGTGTGGGTGTTTAGGGTTTAGGGTTTAGGGTTTAGGGTTTAGGGTTTAGGGTGCTTGGGCTCAGACCATATCAGAGCTGTGCAGTCCTATAGAAAGCGGGTTTAGGGTTTAGGGGTTTAGATATACCCAGAAAGCTCAAGCCCTTTCAGTACCCTAGAAAACCCTGCATATGGGTACTTGGGGAGTCCGGGAGAAAGTTGGACTGAACCTTTATAAACCCTAAACCGTGAATGGCTCGACATTGGGTTTCTGGTTTGCATCTAACGCTGGACTTCTTGTTGGGCCCAAACCTGTTGGCTTGGCTCAGGGGTTTAGGGTTTAGGTTTACGCTGCGAACTTCAGGATTGGAATGGTTTGAGGCTTCAGGGTTTCAGGGTTCAGACTAAGTGCAGACGTGTAAAATACAGAAAGAAGTGGTTCGTATCTAAACCGCCAGGTGTCTATATCAAGCCGATGAGGTTTTCCGTCGCAGCACGGCCCACACCCTCGAAGGAACCAGAGAATAGAACCGCTTGAAACATATCTCAAGCAATATAGCGCGGTAGGATACTGTTGGGGCGGTTCTGATTTATCAACCCGCCGCCTGAAGCTTTACCTTGATACAGTAGATATGGGAGTTTCAGAAAATTAGGGGGTACCTTATTTTGGGGTCCTTATAATAGGGATCCTATTATTTAGGGTACTATATTAGGGTCCCCTATTTTCGGAAGCCCCCATATTGGCATGGGTTCTTTTGAAGTCTTGTAAGACACCTTACAGAGGAAAGGGGATCCTTTCGGACATTCCACATCAGCCCTAAAGGAACTGCCTTCTGGATGAGCAAGGCTAAACCACACCCTACAGGCCGTAAGCGATAACTCAGAAGAGCCCTTTCCGGCCCAGAACCCTCAACCCTGGAAGAGCCCTTGCCTGCACAGTCTTCGATGCACCCATCTACAGAAGTGGACGGCTTTGCCTGCCCGAAGGTACCCCTGAGGGCTTCCTGGATTAAGGGTTTTGGGTTCAGGGCTCGGTTTATTTAGGTTGAAGCTTGGGATTGTAGGGTTATTAGGCCCTGAACCCTGTCCGCCCTAAGCCCTACGAGAACGAAGGTCTGTCGCAGCGTGTAGAAGCTCTGCAACGCATCCTAAGAGATCCCCATGAACGTCAAAAGCCTCAGTATGTCTAGAGGACCGGCTTTCGCGACGCACTCTAGAGTTGAAGTTTCGGAGTTCAGGGATGTTTAGGGTAAGGGTTTAGGGTGTAGGGGCTTAGGGTAAAGGGTACAGGGTTTGGGGCTGTTGCGGTATGGGGTTCGCCAGTGGTTTCGGACGTGCCTGAAGTTTTCCCTGGGGAGGTGCGCAAGCGCGTCAGTCCGTTTCGACGACTTGCTCGTCGCATCACACAGGCCCCTTTAACCTTAGACAAGGCAGACGAACACAGCTTCACCCGTCATAGACCCATAGATACCCTGAGCCCTAAACCAGGCCACCGAGCAGATTTCTGAAACGAAAAACCTGACCCAAACCTGCTTAATTATACTTCCAAAAGCTCTGAAACCCTAAAGCCCAGCAAAGTCGGCCCCCTCTTGGGACGTCTGCTGCCAGGTGCTGTGGAGGCGGAGTGCTTGAGGGTGTTCGCTCGTTCGAGCTTTCTTGGGGTTTCAGCTGCCCTAAACCCTATAAACCCTAAAGCCCCATTAGGGTCTTAGTAGGGGTTCTGGTGTTTAGGGTTTCGGACGCTTAGGGTTTCTGGGTTCAGAGATTACCCTAACCCGAAGCCCTAAACCTTCGGACGCTTAGAGTTTCTGGGTTCAGGGATTAGGTTAGCTTGGGGTTTCGGGCTTTGCGTCTGCCGGCCACAGCGAGATTATCACATCCCACGAATCTGCCTACAACATATTGCATGAGGGCGTGATACGCCCCTTAAGCTTCGACCCGACGGATACAGTGTGGATCCCCAGCCCACAGTTTTTGTGCACGTGGATCAGTCCACAACATCAACGGGGCTATCAGGCATGCGGCCCTCTACGGTGGCAAACCGCCGGCCCGATATGCATATATGGTCCTAAACCCTAAACCCTAAACCCTAAACCCTAAACCCTAAACCCTAAACCCTAAACCCTAAACCCTAAACCGTACCGATTGGCAGGCTTTAAATTCTTCGGACCTCGGATCTCCAGATGGTTTTGGGGTTTGGGGTTTGCGGTTTAGGGTTGAGGGTTTAGGGTTCGGGGTTGAGGGTTTAGGGTTTAGGGTTTAGGGTTGAGGGTTTAGGGTTCGGGGTTGAGGGTTTAGGGTATGGGGTGGGTGGGTGCTTAAAGAAGGGGCTCTCGTAGGCCGTTAAGGAGGTGGGGGAGACCCTATAAACCCTACATACAGGGCTCTTGAATCCCGGCATGGTCCAGTTGTCATGGCTATCTAGCCTCAGGCATCATGTACCCTTAAGGTTTAGGGCTTATAGGGTTTAGGGTTTAGAGTACTTTAAGTATTCTAAACCCTAGACACTGTAAATCCTAAACTCTCCTAAACCCTATTTGGTCTTTGGCATATACCCCTGAATACTCTTCATGCCCCGATAGATCTGGCCCTAGCTCAGCCTAAGCTCTCTAAATGTGTAGCTCTCTAAATTCGGGTCCTTTCTATAAGGGTGCCGTACTATTTTGGGGCCAGAGAAGGACCCTAATTTAGAGAACTACCCGAATAGATTTGCTCCAGCTCGTTGCTTGAACCGCATTTTTGCTTATCATGCCTGAAACCCTACACCTAAAGCACCGTAGGCCTATCATGCATCGTAAGTCCGTTGCAGTTTCGGGTTAGCGTTTGGGGCGACATAGGCAGCACTTCGCGAGCTGGGAGCGCCACAGGCGCTCAATACATATCTGTCTATGGGTGGGTTCAAGCAGCATCACAACTGCTACAACAAGGCCAGAGAGGGCAGATCTAGACTGATGAAGCCTGACGGATCGCCATACGCAGGACCTCTCCAGACACCATCATGGGGGAACTGGATATGGGCACTTTCATCGGCTCTTATATCGGAGCCAACGATGCACGGCGCTATCTGGACCAGGAGCCGTGGCGGTCCCCTAGGAGACGGAACTGAATGACAACGCCGCTGGACAAATCCTGAAGTACTTAACACAAAATTTACCAGAACTTCTTATGTTGCCGACGATGCAGATTTTTCCCATGGACCGTACAAAGCCAGGGGAGCGAGCTGGCATTGTGGCTTGTGTAGCCATCTGCCAAATGAAGTTTGAGGATTTGCAGGGCCGCGAATGCTCGTAGGAGGATCCCGATTGGAGTCGAAGAGGTCCTAAAATACGGCACCCTTGATCAGAATCCCCCGCCGCTGCATTTAGCAGGGCTCATGGCGAGGGGTCGGAATGATTAGAAACAGTGTCCCCTTCTAGTCGCCGTTATGGTTCTAGCACGATACCCGAAAGCCCCATTCAAATCATTGCAGCACCGATATTACTCTCATCCTAGCGAGCTGTCGCGTTAGAGTGCAGGCCGTTGCCCATCCCTCGGGCGAGGGAGATGGTGTGGCGCTGATGCAGCTGAGGCTTGGAGCGGTTTCCGTGGTGGAGTTTTTGGATTTCGGCTTTAGGGTCCCACTGCTGCTATAGTTGGCGGTTTCAGGGGCTTGTGCTCTAAACCCTAAACCCTAAACCCTACAATGTTTGGGTAGATGTGCGGTATTTTCGAGTTGTGTTGGACTTGCGTGATCCAACAACACAGTTTCCGAGGTGCAGTACGCAAGAATCATGGAGTGAGGCTCAGAAGGTAGTACATAGAGAATCCTTGAAGACCCAAGTGTACTTGTCTTTTCCCTGTGCTCTAAAACCCTGGACTTTGACTCTAAACCCGTAAGGTCAGAAACCAAATCGAAGACAACCGAAGCGATGCTTGGGTGCTTTTGCAACTGTTCTTCGCTATTTCGGGTCATGACGGGTCTTGAGTTTTATATGGGGTTCCGAAAAGGCATAGTTGGCTGCTTTTTTGCTTGGGAGAAGTGGAAGCCAAAGAAAGATATTCTACCACTAGGTGGGTCAAGGTGGAATCGCTTTTCTGATGTTGGGTTCTTTGCGGACACGGGTAATGCAGGGACCGGAATAATTTATGGATAATGACTGGGATATTACAGTATTTCTTTCGGGCTTCTTATCATAATTTCTCGCATAGAATACACCAGAACCTATTCTGAATGTTAAGGCTCCTATATGATCCGCTGGCTTTGAACCACATCCCAAGCGCAGCGAATCCTACAATCTGCAACCTTTGCGCTAGGGTCTATGTCTGGGCTTTGAATAATTCCATCTGAAACCGCCTTAGAAACAAGCCCCAAAAGATTATAAGCCGCCTCGAGGGCACAGGTTTTGCACTCAAGACTGAAACAGGGTCAGTGGAATTGTCGTACTGTAGGCTGTTCTTGCGATTACTAGTACCCTAGTTGGGGCTATGTTACTCACAGCCTATGCAGTAGTTGGATACTGCCCCACTCAGTAACATGAAATTAAGATATATTTAGAGTATAGATATAGCATTCCCTTAATGGTACCCTTAGTATGGACTGTGGCTGTATGGGGGCCGTGCCCAATGTAGTAAGCTCAAGCACCGGTAAAGAACTCCAGCGCGACAGGGAACTGCCTACACTGGAGGAAAAGGGGCAGGAGCCGTGCAATTGTGCCGCTAACGCCAGGGGGGGGGGAAAGTCTAGTTCTTAGGGCTTAGGACCCGTTGCTTTAACCCTAACATGCAACCTTCATCCCATGTCGCCGAGTTTTGCCGGCGACTTCACCACACCCCAACCCCGTAATCCCAATCCCGAAGTATGGCCAGCCTCGCTGTTTCCAGATACTAGTAATAATTGAACGAGAGTACCATCGCAGAGTCATACATTTCTGTACCTGAGAAGCTTTTTGTGAGAGTTCGCACTTTGCTAAGGAGATACCTTGGGTCTCCGTCGTGTGTAGAAACTGCGATTCAGGCGTGTTAGTGTCCTTCCGGTACACTCCACCACCCAAGCCCTAGACACTGAAAATAGGTCCGACCCCCTGAACCCCAAAGCCTTACCCTAAAGCCTGGACCTTACATTCCTACATTCCAAAACCTAGTCACAAATCCCTAGACCCTTAACCCAAAGCCGACCCTAGGACCTAAACGCTAAGCAGGAGGAGGCTTCGACCGGGAGGTGCGAGGCTCAGGGGTCGGGGAGTGCTCCGGGTTGCATCGGTTTTCTACATATATATATATATAGAGAGAGAGAGAGAAAGAGAGAAATCTGAATACTCATAAGATTAAGAAGAAGAGGAACAAAAACAATAATTATAAGAATAAAGCCCAAAGCCCTATTCTACCTACTTATAAGGCTTCTATATTAGCGACTCTTCAGCCACCGACTGCCTTGGAATGTCACTGACGTTGTTTGGGATTGTTCCAACAGGTCATGTACGTGCCTTCTAGCTTTGGTGGTGCTTGGAGCTTGTTGGCGATTGAGATTTGAGACTTTAGGGATTACCTGGACCCTAAGAGACCTCGCTTTTCAAGGGTTCCTTTTTATGGATTCCTTATATGAGTCCTCAAAAGGGAAGGTTCTCCAGCGTCCAGGTAGTGCTGCTTAGGCTCGCTGCAGCTGCATGGCAGTCTCGAAATCAGGGCGCGAGATTGAAACCCGAAACCCTAAACCCCTAAACCGTGAAGTCTCGGCACCACAACGAAACCTTCGCCTCCATCACGGCCATGCTTGAACCCTAAAGTGTCCATGTGCCGAAATACTGTATACGTTGGCCCCAAGGTACCTATATAGGGACTACTTTGAGGCCGAAGAAAGATACCATTTGGGCACATGGACCCTAGGGGGAAGACTCGCATCACCTCAGGTTCGAAGTTCTGGAGGTCTACGACTCCTTGCAGTACTACCACAACACCTTCCCGCCGGGGCCACAGCTTTGAGAGGCAAGGGACTCTGACAGAAAAGGCGGAGCTGGGATCAGGGCAATTGTTTGTAAGATTTGTGCAGTGTATGCAGCACCCAGACTCGCAACTTCTGTCGAAGGACATATAAGGTTTCTATTTTACTCATTGCAACTAATTAATGCCTCCAGGGCATCTAAAGCATGATCAGCTTCATTGTAGCTTGCAGGCATGCGTGTTTAGCCTTGTTCCTAGATCGACGCGAATCGGTGTAAACCCTAAACCCTAAACCNNCCTAAACCCTAAACCCTATTGGCAGAGACATCATTCGCTTGAGGCGCCTTCCACGTGAGCACGTACCGCAGTTTGTAGCACCCGAGGCCGGGGGCCTTGTTTCGTGTGCATGTTAGTGTTGAGCCATTGCATCGCTCCATACTATCATTACGATATTCCTATAGTCTCCACCGTTATGGTTCGGTACTGGCACAGAAGTGGTTACACAAGAAAATATACAAGAAACTACAATGGAGACCATAGGTACTTTTAGGTAGACGTTGTAATATCTTGGTTCGGAATCTGGGAGGAGCTGCCAAGACTGGAGGCGTGGGTCACCTTGTTGATGATATGGCTTTCGTAGGCTCCTAGATCTCGAACGATACCACGAACCGTCCCCGAAGCCTTTGGAACCCGTATGGCAACCCCTACAAGGAGCCTTGAAGGAACCCTGAACCTCGACGACAGGACTCCTGCTTGTTGCGGATTTGCATCAGGAAACCATATTACGGAACCCTGCAAATATGGCTCTCGTAGGGTTTAAGCAGGCAGCAGCGCCATGGCTTTCTCAGGGTCCAAGTAGGCTGTGACTCCATGTAGACCCTAAACCCTGAACCCT